CTGGAGTAGATTCAGCCAGGCCCAAGGGGCCCAAGGTATAATACAATGAAGTTACTAAAGCCTTGGTTCCCTTCTGCATTCATCTGAAGCACGTCAGCATTGATAAACAAGTTATGAGACAGCACTTCCACCTTTATTTTCTGAGGATCTAAACCATTGAGCAACTCCGTGAAGGCCTGTGCAGCACTTCGGCAGCGCTGCTCCAACAGAGCTGTGTAGCCATCCTGGATTAAGCTTCTCAGCATTTTCATTATATTAGCAAAATCCTGCAAAGAAGAAATTCCATTTCAGTAATCCAGAGCTATGTATGTTTCATCTAAAACTTAAGATGCTGAAGTTCATCACAGGGCAGTTTACTTTATAACTGATCATAAAGTATGCAAATAAATACCCAAAGCTACCCTTTATGCACTATATTTTCTTCACACAGCACCTGTAAAGTGAAAATTAAAAGGTACTACTTCACCATCTTATTTATGACACTTCTCTTGCTGCCCACAACAAGAAAGGGTGATTCATTTTATACTACACAGTGCTAAGCCTTGATTACTTTTCCAGACTAAACAGTCAATATTTGGAAGTTTTAACACCACAGATAGAGAACACCACCCACTGTAAGTAAGTAAATTGTTCTTTGGGACTAGAACAATTAGACAAAAAAGAAGAACCAATCAATTTGCTAATAATCACTATCATATTGTAATAACTGTGCTTGCATCCTGGTACAAACATTAATTCTCAGCAAGAAATGGATACCTTAAACTTCAGCTCTATTTTTGCCTCAGATATACCCAAATATAACTAGATAAAATTATCAAGAAAGATAGTACTAGGTTAAATGCGAAGGGAAAAGCCTAAGAAATAAAAAACAAAACTAAAATTGCTGTAATATATACCCTGAAATAAAGTGAGAAGAAATTTTTATTTGAATATGTAAGTGCACATACATTATAATTTGAATTCAGGCTTTAATTACATAGCAGTAGCTGAAAGTCAGAAAGTTCCAAAAAGATTGGAGAGGCAAGACTAGAAGTTAAGCCTAGATCTCCTCACTCCCTGCCATGCATGTGTACAATATTCAGGGGAGTGAAAATTCCAAGTATGTGTGCAATATTCCTCACTGATCCTAACAATAAAGACCCAAAAGGAGACCCCACTGCACAAAGCACAGAAGGAAGAGCAGTCTGGGTCAAACATTCATTAACTGCTGGTCTTCATCCTCCAAGGACTCAAATGCTAGAAGAATTTTCTCCCAGAAAACAAGTGGAAAATAACAGCTCTCATATGAACTTGGTACTTGGAATCACATTTAAAAAGCTCAAGGAGAGCCATATTTACATTAAGATACAGATTTCAAAGTTATAGATGATGTGCTATCCTACAAATGCTAATTATTAGCCTTGAATGCACTGATTCCATTTTAAATTCTTTCACATGCTAGAAAACAGATCCATATAACCTCATATCTCCATTAACAATTATTTCTCTCAGTACAGTACAAATGATCTATACTGAAAGCTCCATGAGAGCGGGCGCGTCACACTACCATATACCCAATCTCGCTCATTTTTCAGCACACACTCAAGGGCCTATACAAAAGCATTGAACGAACAAATGAAGGCTCAGAAACTATTATATTGATTTAATAATCTTTGAACTTTACAGGCTGTCTTTTCTCTTAAGTCCTTCATGGCCTTTTGAGTCAGTACCATAGAAAGATATAATTTAAAAATCTCCGGTAGAAGTTCTAAAAATGGTTTTGTGCAACTGATCAGAAATGTTTTCATACAACTTGCTGAAACATGCTACTTTCCATCACATTAGTTATATCCATCACATATAACTGAAACAGTTAACTGAATCTTAAAATGATGCCCATGTTAAAACACTATTCTGTTCTATATTAATATACATTTTGGAGGATGAAATTTAAATGCAATATTTTATTTCAGAAGAAATAAAACTGTGTTTATATAAAGGACTGAGTCACCAAGGCAGACTCACAGGAATAACAATTAACCAAAAGAGACAATCTTTCACTAATACTAGATAACCTACACAACAGTGACTAGCTATGGTTATGGAAATTCTAGATTCCATCAACTTCCTATTTCTTTGTGAATCAGTTTTATTTATTTATTTATTTATTTATTTTTCTTCATATTAAAGTTTATTTCTCCTCTAGAGAAAATTTCAAGTATACTGAAAAGCAGAGTGTGACATTTCAAGAAAATGGGTTTTCAACATAATACTCCTTATTCGAAAACGAAAACCAAACCCCAAAACAATACTAAGTTCCTCTTCGACAAAACTGCTGAAAAAGTGAGATAGAAAAGTACTACACAATTCAAAACTGACTTATCTAAGTAAATCCCCTTTAAATATAAATTTAAATATACATGATTGAACGATTCTGATAATAAATATACAATCAGCATAAACATGGTATTATTAGTATAGTTAACTGACATAATTTTCTCTATTTTAAATTTTTTATTATGGTATTATTGATATACATTTTTCTGAAGGTTTCACATGAAAAAACAATGCAGTTACTACATTTACCCATATTATCAAGTTCCCACCCATACCACATTGCAGTCACTATACATCAGTGTAGTACGATGCCACAGATTTCCTATTTGCCTTCTCTGTGCCACACTGTTTTCCCTGTGACTCCTTATACCATGTGTACTAAACAAAATAGCCCTCAATCCCCATCTCCCTCCCTCGCAACCCACCCTCCCACATCCCTCCCCTTTGGTAAGGGGGAGTCCCTTCTTGGAGTCTGTGAGTCTGCTGCTGTTTTGTTCCTTCATTTTTGCTTCTTTATTATACTCTACAAATGAGGGAAATCATTTGGCACTTGTCTTTCTCCACCTGGCCTATTTCAATGAGCATAATATCTTCCAGCTCCATCCATGTTGTTGCAAATGGTAGGATTTGTTTATTTCTTACTGCTGAATAGTATTCCATTGTGTGTATGTACCACTTCTTCTTTATTCATTCATCTACTGACGGACACTTAGGTTGCTTCCATATCTTGGCTATTGTAAACAGGGCTGCAATAAACATGGGGCCGATGTGTTTTTGAATCTGAGAACTTGTATTGTTTGGGTAAATTCCAAGGAGTGGGATTCCCAGGTCAAATGGTATTCCTATTTTTAGTTTTTTGAAGAACCTCCATATTGCTTTCCACAATCGTTGAACAAGCTTACATTCCCACCAGCAGTGTAGGAGGGTTCCCTTTTCTCCACATCCTCGCCAGCATTTGTTGTTCTTAGTCTTTTCGATGCTGGCCATCCTCAGTGGTATGAGGTGTTATCTCATTGTGGTTTTAATTTGCATTTCCCTGATAATTAGCAACAGGGAGCATCTTTCATGTGTCTGCTGGTCATCCGAATTTCTTCTTTGGAGAATTGCCTCTTCATACCCTCCACCATTTTTTAATAGGATGATTTGTTTTTTGGGTGTTGAGGCATATGAGTTTTTTATATATTTTGGATGTTAACACCTTGTCAGATATGTTGTTTACAAATACATCCTCCCATACTGTAGGATGCCTTTTTGTTCTGTTGATGGTGTCCTTTGCCGTAGAGTAGCATTTTAGTTTGATGTAGTCCCATGTGTTCATTTTTGCTTTTGTTTCCCTTGCTCAAGGAGATGGGTTCAGGAAGAAGTTGCTCATGCTTATATTCAGGAGATTTTTGCCTATGTTGTCTTCTAAGAGTTTTATGGTTTCATGACTTACATTCAGGTCTTTGATCCATTTCGAGATTACTTTTGTTTATGGGGTTAAACAATAATCCAGCTTCATTCTCTTGCATGTAGCTGTCCAATTTTGCCAACACCAGTTGTTGAAGAGGCTGTCATTTCCCCATTGTATGTCCATGGCTCCTTTATCGTATATTAATTGACCATATATGGTAGGTTTATATCAAGGCTCTCTAGTACATTCCATTGGTCTATGGGTCTGTTCTTGTGCCAGTACCAAATTGTCTTGATTACTGTGGCTTTGTAGTAGAGCTTGAAGTTGGGGAGCATAATCCCCCCAGCTTTATTCTTCCTTCTCAGGATTGCTTTGGCTATTCGGGGTCTTCTATGGTTCCATATGAATTTTAGAACAATTTGCTCTAGTTCATTGAAGAATGCTGTTGGTTTTTGGATAGGAATTGCATTGAATCTGTAGATTGCTTTAGGCAGGATGGCCATTTTGACAATATTAATTCTTCCTATCCATGAGCATGGGATGTGTTTCCACTTATTTGTATCTTCTTTAATTTCTCTCATGAGTATCTTATAGTTTTCAGAGTATAGGTCTTTCACTTTCTTGGTTAGGTTTATTCTTAGGTATTTTATTCTTTTTGATGCAATTGTGAATGGAATTGTTTTCCTGATTTCTTATTCTGCTAGTTCATCATTAATGTATAGGAATGAAACAGATTTCTGTGTATTAATTTTGAATCCTGCAAGTTTGCTGAATTCAGATATTAGATCTACTAGTTTTGGAGTGGCTTCTTTAGGGTTTTTTATGTACAAAATCATGTCATCTGTAAACAGGGACAGCTTAACTTCTTCCTTGCCAATCTGGATGCCTTTTATTTCTTTGTGTTATCTGATTGCTGTGGCTAGGATCTCCAGAACTATGTTGAATAAAAGCGGGGAGAGTAGGCATCCTTGTCTTCTTCCTGATCTTAAAGGAAAGGTTTTCAGCTTCTCGTTGGGTTCGTTCATCATATATGGCATTTATTATGCTGATGTACTTGCCCTCTAAACCCATTTTGTTGAGAGTTTTTATCATGAATGGATGTTGAATTTTGTCGAATGCTTTTTCAGAATCTATGGAGATGATCATGTGGTTTTTGTCCTTCTTTTTGTTGATGTGGTGGATGATGTTGATGGATTTTCAAATGTTGTACCATCCTTGCATCCCTGTAATAAATCCTACTTGATCGTGATGGATGATCTTTTTATATATATTTGAATTTGGTTTGCTAATATTTTGTTGAGTATTTTTGCATCTATGTTCATCAGGGATATTGATCTATAATCTTCTTTTTTTGTGGTGTCTTTGCCTGGTTTTGTTATTAGAGTGATGCTGGCCTCTTCTACTTTTTGGAAAACTTTAAGGAGGATGGGTATTAGGTCTTCACTAAATGTTTGATAAAATTCAGCAATGAAGCCATCTGGTACACGAGTTTTGTTCTTAGGTAGTTTTTGATTACCAATTCAATTTCATTGCTGGTAATTGGTATGTTCAGATTTTCTGTTTTTTTCTGGATCAGCCTTGGAAGGTTGTATTTTTCTAGAAAGTTGTCCATTTCTTGTAGGTTATCCAGTTTGTTAGCATATAATTTTTCATAGTATTCTCTCATAATTCTTTGTATTTCTGTGGTGTCCACAGTGATTTTTCCTTTCTCATTTCTGATTCTGTTTATGTGTGTAGACTCTCTCTTTTTCTTGATAAATCTGGCTAGGGGTTTATCTATTTTATTTTCTTGAAGAACCAGCTCTTGCTTTCATTGATTTTCTATTGTTTTATTCATCTCGATTTTATTTATGTCTGCTCTACTCTTTATTATGTCCCTCCTTCTACTGAGTTTGGGCCTCATTTGTTCTTCTTTTTCTAGATTCATTAATTATGAGTTTAGACTGTTCACATGGGATTGTTCTTCTTTCCTGAGGTAGGCCTGTATTGCAAAATGCTTTCCTCTTAGCACGGCTTTCGCTGCATTTCACAGACTTTGTGGTGTTGAATTATTGTTGTCATTTGTCTCCATATATTGCTTGATCTCTGTTCTTATTTGATTATTGATCCATTGGTTATTTAAGAGCATGTTGTGAAGCCTCCATGTGTTTGTGGGATTTTTTCATTTTCTTTGCGTAATTTATTCTAGTTTCATACCTCTGTGGTCTGAGAAGCTGGCTGGCACAATTTCAATCTTTTTTAATTTACCAAGGCTCTTTTTGTGGCCTAGTATATGATCTATTCTTGGAAATGTTCCATGTGCACTTGAGAATAATGTGTATTCTGCTGCTTTTGGATGTAGAGTTATGTCTGTAAGGTCCATCTGTTCTAATGTGTTGTTCAGTGCCTCTGTCTCCTTACCTATTTTCTGTCTAGTTGATCTGTCCTTTGGAGTGAGTGGAGTGTTGAAGTCTCCTTGAATGAATGCATTGCATTCTATTTCCCCTTTTAATTCTGTTAGTATTTGTTTCACATATGTAGGTGTTTCTGTGTTGGTGCATAGATATTTATAATGGTTACATCTTCTTGTTGGATTGACCCCTTTATCATTATGTAATGTCATGCTTTGTCTCTTGTGACTTTCTTTGTTTTGAAGTCTACTTTGTCTGATACAAGTACTGCAACTCCTGCTTTTTTCTCCCTATTAGTTGCATGAAATATCTTTTTCCATCCCTTCACTTTTAGTCTGTGTATGTCTTTGGATTTAAAGTGAATCTCTTGTAGGCAGCATATAGATGGGTCTTGTTTTTTTATCCATTCAGGGACTTTATGTCTTTTGATTGGTACATTTAGGGTGATTATTGATAGGTATGTACTTATTGCCATTGCAAGCTTTAGATTCGTGGTTAGCAAAGGTTCAAAGTTAACTTCCTTATTATCTAAGAGTCTGACTTAACTCACTTAGTATGCTTTTAAAAACACAATCTAAACGTTCTTTTTTTCTCATTCTTTTTCTTCCTCCTCCATTCTTTATATATTAGGTATCATATTCTGTAGTCTTTGTCTATTCCTTGATTGACTTTGGGGGTAGTTGATTTAATTTTGCATTTGCTTAGTAATTAACTGTTCTACTTTCTTTACTGTGGTTTTATTACCCCTGGTGACAGCTGTTTAGCCTTAGGAACACTTCCTTCTATTGCATCCCTCCAAAATACACTGTAGAGATGGTTTGTAAGAGGTAAATCCTCTCAGCTTTTGCTTATCTGGAAATTGTTTAATCCCTCCTTCAAATTTAAATGATAATCTTGCCACATAGTGTATTCTTGGTTCGAGGCCTTTCTGCTTCATTGCATTAAATACATCATGCCACTCCTTTCTGGCCTGTAAGGTTTCTGCTGAGAAGTCTGATGATAGCCTGATGGGTTTTCATTTGTATGCGATCTTACTTCTCTCTCTGGGTGCTTCTAATAGTCTGTCCTTATCCTTGATATTTGCCATTTTAATTATTATATGCCTTGGTGTTGTCTTCCTTGGGTCCCTTGTGTTGGGAGATCTGTGCATTTCCATGGCCTGAGAGAGACTATCTCCTTCCCCAGATGGGGGAAGTTTTCAGCAACTACCTCCTCAAAGACACTTTCTATCCCTTTTTCTCTCTCTTCTTCCTCTGGTACCCCAATAATGTGAATATCGTTCCGTTTGGATTGGTCACACAGTGACCAATATTCTCTCATTCTTAGATATCCTTTTTTCTCTCTGTGCCTCAGCTTATTTGTATTCCTCTTCTCTAATTTCTATTTCATTTATCGTCTCCTCCACCGCATCTAATCTGTTTTTAAAACCTTCCATTGCATGTTTCATTTCTGATACTGTGTTCCATAATGATTGGATCTCTGACTCAAATTTATTCCTGAGTTCTTGAATATTTTTCTGTACCTCCATGAGCATGTTAATGATTTTTATTTTGAAATCTCTTTCAGGAAGATTCAAGAGGTCGATTTGAGTCTTTCCCTGGCGTATTTGTAATTTTGCTTTGAACCGGGTTCCTTTGACGTTTCATATTTGTGTGTGGTGCCCTCTAGTGCCCAGAAGCTCTATTCTCTGGAGTTGCTCAAACCCTGGAGCAATGTCAGGGGTCGCAGGGAAGCCATGTTGGTGCCTGGTGGGAGGAAAGAGCTGTTTCCTGCTTCCCGGCTGCTATGCTGTCTCCACTGCCAGAACCAGTGGGCTGATCACACAGGTATAAGCCTCTATGCTTTGCGTTTGTAGCTGCTGTAGGCAGGATTTACCTCTGGCTGGCCTGATGCCAGGGCAGGGTTTGCTGGTTTGCGAGCCAGCTGGGGCTGGCCAGGAGGAAGGCGCAGCAGGCTGCATATCACGGAGGGTGGCCTTGGAGCTGCGTAGCCAGCCAGGAGGCTGAAGGACCTGAAGATCGTGAAAGTTTCCAACCTGCTGGGCAGAGTGCATCTGGATAATGTTGTCTATCTGTCCTTTCTCCTGAGTAGGAAGCTCTCTGCAATCCTTGCCCCTTTAGCAGCCCTTTTGCTGCTAGGAAGTCTCTCAGACTGCCCATCTTTCTTTCGTCCCAGAGCAGCTGGATATGGATCCCTGCTTTCCACAAGTGGCTGGAATCTCAGTCTCTCTAGACATTCTGCCTGTCTTAGCTTTCCAATCCCCCTACTTATGAGAGCACCATGATATGTAAGTTTGTGCTCCCAGAGCAGATCTCCAGAGCTAGGTGTTCAGTGGTCCCAGGCCTCCACTCCCTCCTTGCTCCGTTTCTCTTCCTCCCACCTGTGAGCTGGGGTGGAGGAAGGGCTTGGGTTCTGCCCACCCATGGCTTTGGTACATTACCCTGTTCCATGAAGATTATTCTTTTCTCCAGGTGTATGCAGTTTGGAGCAGCCCTCTTTCCTGTTGCTCTTTCAGGATTAGTTGTATTAATTATATTTTTGTATTATATGCGATTTAGGAGGAAAGCCTCCTTCTCACCTCTCATGCCACCATCTTTCATCCCCAGAATCAAATCAGTTTTAATAAGTTGATTTTTCTAGAAATTTATCCATTTCATCTACATACATTTTCAAATTTCTTGGTATAATGGTCATAATAGTACTTTGATATATTTATGATACTGAAGGATTTGTAGTAATGTACCCCATTTTATTCTTGAAACTGTTCTTCAGTCTTTCTATTTTTTTTGTCTTTTCTTTAGTTCTTAATAAGCTTCAGCACCAATGTGTAAATTTTATGTGTATTGTCAAAGAATTAACTTTTGGTTTTGTGGATCCTTCATTATATGTTTGTTTCCATTTCATTATTTTCTATTTTCATCTTTATTATTTCCTTCTTTCTGCTTATTTTGGGTTTATTTGCTGTTTTTCTTTTTTCCTAGCTCTTAGGATGAATGCTTTGTTAATTTAAGTCTCTACTCTTTCAGTACATACATTTAGCTTGATGTATGTCCTCAAAGTAATCTTTTAAGCTGTATTCTTTTCATTTATTTAAAGATTCTTTCTTTTAGAGCAGCTTTGGTTTACAACAAAATTGAGAGGAAGTTAGAGATTTCCATATACCACCTGCCACTACTTGCAAAGCCTCACCTTTATCAACATCATTCACCAGAGTGGTATATTTTTAACTAAAGACAAATACACTGTCACATAATTATCCAAAGTCCATAGTTTAACCTGGAGTTCCCTCTTGGTGGTATATATTCTATGGGTTTGGAGAAAGATACAATGACATGTATCCATCATTATAATATTCAGAGGATTTTCACTGCCCTAGAAGTCCTCCATGCTCTGCCTATCATCTCTTTCTCCTTAATGTATATTTTTCATTACTTACTACCATGAGAATTTTATACTCAGTTACCTGATTAATGTTATATCATTCAAAGAATAAAAAGTTTGCTCTTTAATAGTTTTAGAGTAGGTGTAATGAAACTGCAAGTGTTTAAACCTTTCAAAATTATTTAAATCTTTTTAAAATCTTTAACTTAAAAATTAAAACTTTGGGAAGCAAAGATTCCCAAATCTTTAAATCTTTGGGAAGATTCCTTCCTGTTAAACTTTTGGGAAGCAAACAATTCTGCAGTGTTAACCATTATTAGTTAACTCTCTGGTTACGCAATTATCAAGTCACTATCTAGATGAGTTATAGTGTGGTTTTCTTAGCAATCATACATTAAATTATCTGCCCATAACTAAAATTATAGAAAAATATCTTAGAGATGTACATGATTAGATTTAATTCATGTGAAAAATGTTTTGTTCAAAGAGTTTGTTTTTTCCATTAGAAACGCCTTTTCCTTTACCTGGTGTGCAGCTCTGGAGGATTTAGAAAACTGTTTCTCCAAGATGTTTTTCAAATCTATTGGCAAAGTCCCTTGTGAACTAGAACCAAAAGAGAAAAAAAAGTCTTGTTTTGAATTATTTTAACATGAAACAATCCTGCTTATATAAAGAAAACAATATATTTGTTTTTAAGCACTGGGCATTTTGAATACTCAGTACATGGAGAGTCACAAGTTCCTAAATAGAAATATTACCAAGATGCCAATTCTCCCCAACTTAACCCCTAAATTTAAGAAAACCTCCATAAAAATCCTTATAAAAGGTGGAGGAGGACCAGATAAACTGATTATAAAGATAATATGGAAGAACAATTTTTGAAAGAAATAGAAATCAGGGTGGATTTGTGCTGATCATCAAACATTATTACAAATCTACAGTCATCAGTAATAACACTGCCCTGCAATGAGCCCAATAAACACTGCAAAGATGCTCAATCTCAAGGGGAATTTAGAAAGATATAATTGTTTGGAGAAGTCTGACTCCCAGTGCCAGTAAGCATTAGGAAGACTTGGGTACTCTGAGTGTTTTCTGACATCTCATGTGTGGCTTCTTCCCTGACACCAAGTATTTATTTGTTGTTTTTTCACAGCAATTTTCCCATATCAAGTGAGTATCCAAAAATCCAGTTCAGTTTTAACACCAACTCTGGAGTAAAGGCTCAGTCCCACAAGGCTGCCCTCACTACAAAAGTTAGCCACAATAGGGTCCCCAGGTTACCCACACTTCTGCTGGAAGACTACAAATTCAGGGGTTCCTGTGACCCTCCCTGCAGATCCAACAACTCCCTAGAATGAATCACAAAACTCTGAGAAGCATTTTACTTACTATTACCAGCTTATTATAAAGGAGAGAACTCAGGAACACCCCAAGGGAAGAAAGGCAGAGAAAAGAGTTGGGGGAAAGGTGCCACAGAACTGTTGTGCAGGCCCAGAGTGTGCCACTTTCCCAACAACCCTTGGAACCTCGAGGTTTACAGGTTTTTATACAGGTTTCATTACATAGGCATAAATGATTAAATTACTGACCACTAGTGACTTGAGCTCAATTTCCAGACCCCTTCCCCTCCTCAGAAATCAGGGGGTGGAGCTGAAAGTTCCAACCTTCCAATTACATGCTTGGTTTTTTTGGTGACCGGCTCCACTTCTGAAGGCAGACACCAGCCTTGAGACACCTCATTAGTAAAACCTCTGGTAGGGTACAAAGGGGATCGTTTCGAATCATAAAGGACACTCATCAGTAAATTCTAAGGGTTTTAGGAACTCTGTACCAGAAACTGAGGACAAAGCCCAAATATATATATTTTTATTATACCACACCTTCTCACAGTTCAGTATGAATGTGAACAATGCTTATTTTCTGGGAAGGCAATCTGGTAATTTCTATCAAAGTTAAAATTACACATCCTCTTTGACAGAGCAATTACACCCTCGCAGTTTCTTCTTCAAATAAACATCTATACTATGAAACTATGAAACACCCTGCAGCAATGAAAATGAACGTAGATCTCCATGGTCTGATATGGGAAGATACACAAGACATTTTGAAAGAGATAAAAGCAAGCTGTAAGCCAGAATGGTTCTAACGACAATGAAAAAGAGAGTGATAACAATGATAGGTCAAGTATACTGAGCATTTACCATATTCCAGGGCTCTAGGTGTTTTATGTGGTTATCCCATTTAGTTATTAAATAACCCATGAGGCAGATATAATAAAATAAAAAGCCTTCAGATTGAAAACAGAAACAAAATATCAGGAAAATATATATACATTTTTAACCAAACAGGTTAAAATCATAAGTATGTATTCAAAGAATGGTCATTCATTTGGTTTTGGTTTCTTCCACAGGGAGGGGAGGAGTGGGGCAGGGAGGAAGACTCAGGATTTTTCTACCAAATAATAGAGTAACATAATATACTATGTCCCTGCATTGTGTTTAATTTTTACAGAAGCACCAAAAAATGGTCATTCCTTTTTAATGGAGCATTCTCAATTTCTCTTAGTGCTTTGACATTCAAATCATTCTCCTTAAAGCACCTACCAAGTAATCAGCCTCAAGAAATGAAGAGAAAACTGACAGTGGTATAACGGGCAGAAATGGCTTTGCAGCTTGTCCAGCATCATTTTCAATGACTTCATAAACTTCTGTATCCATTGTATGTAAGTTTTACAATTTCACTTTGCAATCAATTTATAACCTGTGTAGGTAACAGGGGATCAACTATAAAGACAGGTGGCAAGAGTTCCTACTGTTAATTTTAGCGGGGGATGTTTGGGACCACCTATAAGTGGTCGGTTCATTAGTAAATACTTTTCTCTAATGGAAATGAGTCAAATATACACATTCCCACGTCTTTGTATACAGAGTAAGTTTCCAGATGAAACTGCCAAGAAATTGTTAACAGCAAGTTCCTAAAGGAAGCTACTAGAGAAGGAATTGTAGGAAAGGTGAAATAAAGTAAGAAGAAAAGGTGATTTATTAGTCTTTACTTGCTACTTCTCTGAAGAACTTTTGTCTTATCAGCATGTATTTGGAATTTTAAAAAATTAATACTGATACATGACTTTCAGAAATCAGTATTAATATCCATACTATTATTAATATTATTAATCCTTCAGCGAAAAGTAAACCCTCTCCTAAAGACATGCCTTTGATATTTGAAAGGAATGTACTTACATAATACACACTGTAAAGGTACCCACTACTTGAAAGGCATTTTTTTTTTCCTTGGGAAAGGTCATTAGGGAAAAACAAAAAACAAAAAACCTTAGATAAAAAACATACCTGAACTTCTCCAATTCATTGTTTCGGGATTTTTGTTTTCCTTTATATTTTGGAGGCTGACCTGTGAATACAAAAGTATGTGTTCCTGAAATTGTACATAAATATTTACAAGCTTGAAAAAAAAACACTAAAAAATTTAAATTGGAATAAGAAAGCAAAGGAAGCAATACTGGGAGTGTAATTACAAACAAGTCAAAAAAGAAGCTACTGATACCTATGTATGCTATAAAATTATTACACAGATAAATTAAAATGACGATTATTATGTAGATACAGAGAGACAGAGGCTATAGTTTCTGTTCTCAGATAGTTTACAATCAGATGGGAAGAGAGAACGGTCACCTCAATTAAACAACAATCACCATTAAGAAGAAAAGAAATACTATGTTGTTACTGATATATTAATTCCATAGTAACTGCTCTTTTAAGTCACAGAAGGGAGAAATCACTTATGCTGGAGTGGCTGGGAAAAGTGTGAGTGGGAATGCAGCATTTGTTTTTAGTTTTAAGCAACAAGCAGGATTTGGATAGACTGGGCCAAACCCAAAAGTAACGTTTGTTTTAAGAAACACTAAGTAAACCTGTGTGATTTAGTGAGTTTGGTAAGGACAGAAGGTTGGAAACGGGGTACAAAGGCCAGTTGAGGTGAGTGTTTTTAGGCCCTGTGCTTCTGATCCTGAACTCTTGTGAGGTCAGCCTTTATTCTACTGACAGGAGCAGAGAGCAAGGTATGCTTTGGGCAGGGGAGTCATCTGTGCAAAGGTGTGCAGAAAAGAGCGCAGCAGTGAGGACAGAGTACATTTAATGGAATCTTGGGGGAGAGACAGCAGAGGCAAGTCAGGAGGGTATGAGAGCCTGAGCTGGTTTTGGCGGCCTAAGAAAAAAACACAGAGGCTTCTAGAAAGGCAGAAGAGCTCTAGTTTGATTCCTGCTGTGTCACTTCGGGCAAAACTTAGCCCTAACCTTGGGACTCACTTCTTCAACTGAATGTAGGTGCTGTGTGAATGGCATTTAAATTATTTATTTAAATGTGCTGTCTGATAATAATAGCCTAAGAAATATTGATAAATTAAAAGCTGTTTCCAGAAGAAAAGTTTTGTCCTCAAAGATTTTCCACAAGACATTAGAGTTGTATCAGGTAAGACAACTGCCTGAGTTTCCCTGTCTCTGTAACTCTGCTAGTGAGCTAACAATATGGAAATGCCCAGTGGTGAATCACTGGCCATGGGGCACCAGAGTCCACGAGAAGGCAGAACTGCAGGAAGACAGAATGGCTGCCAGAAGTACAATCACTGCAAAGAAAACAAATGAACCAACAAACGAGAAAGGAAAAGAGCAACAAGATCATTAATTAGGTCAATAATCTCCATACAACCACCCTGGGAGAAGCACGTGAATGCTTGAGATCAATGATGTGTGTTAAATAATAACTCTGAGCCATCAAGAAAATCTGTATTTTCTTAAACTCTGTTTTAAAAGCCAGAGAAGCGCGTCATCTATCCCACAATGATTTCCATCAAAATCTGGTAGTATAAGGGAGACTAAGAAATAAATGAAAATATTCGCTTCTTTGGAACCCTTCATTTCCTGACATGCCTAGTAAATGAGGTTCTGCTGTGAGTCTGCAGTATTTACTTGATGCATAAACAAACAAATGCACTCAGCACATACAATTAAAAATAAACTGGTATTAGCCTAAAGCATCCATTCTCAGCGGGGGGCGACATCATCTCCAACAGAGTAAAAATTGGTTACTCTTTTTATATACAAAGGACACACATACACATAGTACATAAACAGATAAAGAGTACCTTTGGTATTTAAATTTCATAGGGGAGGGCAATTAGGAAAAAAAAATGATTAAAAAGGTTCCTGGAGGGAAGAAGGGTGATAATGAAATAAAAGTTGAATAAAAAACTAGATTAGTGGAAATTGGAAGAGCTTCATCTTTCCATGCTTTTATTTGGATTTCTAAAATAAAATTTTTTAAGTAATATGAAAAGACTGAGCATTGATTTCCAATAAACATTCAGTGTCTTAATACAGAAGCATTATAAAGTAAAAGGAGAACAATAGTAAATGTAAGTGAGGCTTTTGGGAATTTTGGGGCATAGAAGTTTAGGCAACACTACATTAACTCAGCAATAATTCACTTAAGAAAAAAACCTTACCTGATGGTGGCAGAAATTCAGGATGACAGTCACAATCATCTACCCTCAAAGCTTCATCTACCACCTACCCATAAAAATAAAATTGAGACTTTCAAAAAAATACAGCCATGAAGAATAGCTAAATAATAAAATAGAATAGGAGAGAATTTATCCAAGTGCCTAAAATACCCAGCTGGCTATTAAGCCTAAAGGAACAAACAAACAAAATGGTAACTAATGAGAAGTGATTATGATATGCTATGACAAATTCTCAAAAGACAATTCTATTTCTGACCCCTGCCATGATCCTGACACAGTGGTTGTCCAATAACCACCTGTATTAAATTAATCTAATCACATCTTCCTTATTCTCCTCTCCCCAGCCAAACACAGCCTCTTTGAGATTTTCATAATTAGTAACAAAAGGACTATACGGTGGGGTGGAAAACTCCCTTCAAAGCCCACTACCCATCTATCCCCCAAACAGCCTTTTCCTTTTTTCCCCCTCAAATCCTGGAAAGAAATATAAATGTGGACTTGATATTTGCTGAGTTTTGGGTACACTACCTTTCAGAGAAAAACTCAGGATACAAATCATCTGGGACACTAACTGCAGCGCCAGGATAGGCCTAGAGGTGCCCTAAGAAACCTCACGTCAAGGTTCTGTTGAGCACCATCAAGGCTGGGCACTATTGCTGTTAAGAGCAACAGAGGCAAAGATGGAGATGGGGAGCTGCCCAGGCCCAGCACATCACAAGCTGGGAAGGTGGGCTGGTGCAGTGCCACACAGCTAAGTAGACTGCAAAAAGGGAGAGGGGAGGGAAAAAAAATCCAAAGCATTGTAAGGGGTCAGGTGATGTGGCCAGCAGACCCCACTGTCACTAATTTCCAAGTGACTGTTTGATTGAGAGATATGCAAAGGGAAGGCATACAGAGAGAAATAAAACAAGCAGCAAAAGGAAGTTTAGGAAAAAAATATTTTGGAAACACACAAATGTGATTTCAAAAGAAATTCTGCGACACTGAATTTTATGTAGTTGTAGGAGGCAGCTAGATTATTTATTAAAAAGAGAATTATTCTCTTAATATTAATAGTCAAAAAGGGGTTCATTATGACTAAAATATTTAATTCCCGTTATTACCAAAACAGTATTGCAAAAACAGAAGATTATTTATTCTTTAGATAATTTAACTGAGCTTACCTTTAGATTATGATTACCACCGTTTGCCATTTCGTGGTTAGTTTTTCTGGAATCTTTTTCAGTCTCCACAAAGTTAAGTGAAGTACTAAATGCAGGTGCTGATAAACTTGGTATGTAGGCCCTGAGTAGGGATAAAGGGAATTATCATTCTGTTTCTATAGATGAGTACACATTTTAAGAGTGATCCTTCAGAAAGCAGCTTTTAGCAATCACAGCCCTTTTTCCTTGAAAGCAAGGTAATACTGTTTTAAAAAGAATCTCTACCTCTGAGATTGGGTTTTATATATAAATAATTTTAATTTGGTATTAGAAACTCAAAATAGATTAAGAACATTCAAGGAATGTACTCTGGTTTCTGACATTAAAATATATAAGTTTCCTTGTTTTAAATTTAACAGCTTCAAAATCTTAAGCATCTAAAACATGTGGGAAAAAGCTTAATGGATTTTAATCGCCAAGTAACAAACACAGAACCCCTTAGCTGCTGTTTTCTTGTGAACATACTCAAGTCTATCTGTTGCCTATTTCAAACTGGAAATGCCAGAGCCTTTGAAAAGATGTCAGGAGGTTGAAGGGAGGTGTTTCCAGGACATGGGTGAAGAGTAAAAGGCACAGACTTATGTTTATGCTTCCTGTTCTCTGCTGCTAGGACCCTTATGGCCAAAAGTGGTCCCATGTTAGCACAGTAACATCCAATTAACCTTGTACTGCTCTTTGCTTGTAGGCTCAGGCTACTAATCTCCAATACATACATGCAAATGGTTCAGCAAAACAAATCTGACTATTCACAGGTCATCTGCTCTTACACATGAACACTTTGAAAACTACCTCTTGTCCTTCCCATCCTCAACTTAACATAGTTGATATTAGCTACTGAAGCATCAAACACAGAGAAACTTAAACTCACAGGGCAAAGCAATTCCAAGTAACAGCTACTAATCCACCTGTTACCAACTCACCTGCTTTCATAAAAGGCTTTAATTGGATTCCTAGTTGGTGGTCGACCTATAAAAATCAATCACACATGCATAATAATTAGTGGATGGCAATACATACTTTAAAAGATTTTCAAATTTCCTTTAAGCTGACAGTAAGAAATTTACAGAACAAAAAAAATAAGCCTAAGCAGTTTTACATTTCCGGATATTTTTAGTTTTACAATGGTGTCAACAAAATGTTTCACAAACCTTATTTGACATCCCATTACATGTGATCATTGACTAGATGGAAAAGTATATAAATTTGAATCAAAAGATGGTACCTGTCTTCAAGGAGCTCACAATCTTATAATCATGGTATGATGGATGACAACATCTGCTACAGAAATAAAACTGCTCGACTCAGCTTCTTAAGACACTACCCACAGAAGAAAAAATAGGAGAGACCTATACATTAAAAGTGTGCAATAAGGGAATTTTAGGCATTGGACAAAGAAAATGACTCAGTTGAGAATGACAGAATGAAAATCTAAAACTCCTAGCCTGCACAGCACATTTCTGATATATACATATATATCAGAACACACACACATATATGTGTATGTATATATGTACATACATTCAGCATGCTATAGAATTAGCTACTGACAGTGCAAAAACACTAAACAACTCTATTGAAGGGCCTTTTCTTTAGGAAGTAACTATAATAACGGAGGAAGAATTTTAAAACAATTTTGTTTCAAAAAGGTTTTATTTGAAATTTCAAGAAGGCATGTTTTTCAACAGAAGAATAAATAACTTTTTGCTATTTCAAATAAACACAAATTATGTATAATTATCTAATAGAATATAATACTAATGTAATTCTATAGATAGAAATGGAAAGCTTAAGTGATTTGACCAAGGTAACATAACAACATAAGTACAAATCATCTGAGAATTGATTTTTGGTCCTCCATTAATCCAAGAAACCCACCTTCAAAAGTTTGAAAGGGAATTCAACTATAGCCAGAAGAATCTTAGGTGAAATACCTTGCAGGTCTTCTATTTGTTTTTGTAACTTTACATGCTGCTGAATTAGATCCTTGATTCCCTCAGGGTCATTTTTACAGAGTTTTTGAGCTTTTATGTTTGCTTGCAGGGCCCAGTCATATTCCCCCAGCATAGAAAGAGCAGCACAATAACGATAATGACCCTGTTCCAAAAGATAAATTTAATTTTTTCTCAAAAATATGCTTAAGTTAAACAAAATAGATAAGGAAAAATATTTTGCTTGAAAACTAATTAGTTACTTAGAATGTTAGATTAGGACCCTATCAATGAAAAATAAATAAAAGTGTTGATACCTCTCAGAAAATAAAATTACCTAAGTGAGCTAAAGGAAAATTATGAATCGTATTCATAATAATTTTTACAACTGACTAGAGATCAGTACTTATGCTTGAGATTTTTATACCCCCAAAGAAAAGAATTCAACCTTTATTATATTTTAGTGAAGACTGTATTACTTTGTGCCAAATAAAATATAAAAACCATTCATTTTAAATAAGTAACTTAATTTAAAAAAATACTTTTAGGTAGTAATAGTCTCTAAGTCTGTATTCCCTACATTTTAGAAATCAAAAGAATTCTAGAGCTGGAAGATCAGCTTGTGCAGTAGTTTTCTAACCACTCTGAAGAGCATGGGGCACAGGTAAGGGATGCCTCTAGGCTAGATCTTCCATCCATCTCTCTCTTAATCAGCTTATATTTTATCTTTAAGTGCAGTTTTTGGCTTTAACAAAAGGTCCGAAAGCCACTGATTTACTCTTCATTCCAAAGATCAGTTGTTTTGTTTTCTTTTGCTACAGAAACAGTCCTGGCTAGCCCCACTTATGCATTCTGGGAAAGTATGAACATTTTAATCTAGAAAACTATTATTTCCAAGCTTGGGACTAGCTCAACCAACCCGTCTCTGGCTGCTCACAAACTTTAAGTACCATACCTCCACTTGAGAGGTGACTTACACATGAGAGAGACTAGAAACTGGCTTAAAGTCATACTTAATTTGAGGTGACCAAAGAATGCTGATCTTAGGACTCCAGGTCTAAAAAGCACTTTTCTCTTTATTACACATTTTACAAAGAACATGCTGATTCTATTAGAAAATATGGTATCAGAAATAAGTGACCCTTTTAAGAAAGATGAGGTTCTCACTAATCCAAAAACAACCACAAGGACCTTTGTTTAATCAAGTTCAGATGCTTATATAATCCAGCTCTGGTACCCAACCCACCCGGTGAGTTCTGGAGTTTTTTAGCAAGACTATATTTAGGCTCTGATCAAAGATCCCAACTGAGATTACATTTGGCTAAACTCTGCTTTTCCTCAAAAGGCACAAGCAGATAAAGAGATCTCTCAGATATGCCACAAAACCAAAATACTAACCCCTAGGCATGTATGAGCTTCAAAATGAAGATAAATGCATTAAAAAATTTCTTTTAAATCACAGCACAGGAAATTATGAGAGTTTATAAACCATATCTGCTAAATTTCTCATCTTTTACTGGGTAGGTCCTTTTCCCTAAACTATAGAACCCAGTAAACTTCTTTCTGTTGAGAAAAGGAGTTTACTCAGATCTCTTTGCTGAAGTTATTTGAACAAAGCTTAAGTTAAACGTACCTTTGGAGTTTTTTGAGCCCAAGTACAACACAAAGTTTTGCTCTTCTTTAACACTACCTCATTCTCTACACATACATGGAAATTCCCTATTGTTGGTCTGCCTAGCATCCCCTCCTTTTTGACACCACCATGTCCCTACCCTGCAGAGTAGTGGCAGGACTATCAACTCTAGTGCCCCATCTTAACAGTGGATGGTATGGCAGAAGTGTAGCTGTGACCCAAGAGACTGGCCATCCTAAATGCACCATTTTCCAGGTCACAGATCAATCCACAGGTGGACACATGGCTCAGTCAGAATCCGGTTGAGGCACCCCTTCCATATATTATGTACATACTAAAAGAGGCTCTCTTTCCACTAGAATTAACAGTCATTAAGGATATCAGTTTGAGGCTTTTACTGCAGTAAAAGCCTTTTTCAAAATGAAGCCAAGAGAGCCTACACTCTACTACTTCTGGTCAAGATGGAGTAACAGGGATTGGATTTGCCTTCTTGTCTAAAATAAATAAACATGGAAAAAATACATGAAACAAAGATTTGAAGACACTGGATATCAAGCAACAAAAGACAGTGATCCCTGAGAGAGGAGAAACACACAGTAAGCTCTGTGATTGCTCCAGGTTACTGAACAGCTTCTAAGTCATGGCACAGGGAGAAGCAACCCAGGTAGCTTAAGTCCACTGGCCAGGGAACAGGAAGAGAGAGCCAGAAAACTCCAGAGATCTTCAGAGAGGCCCCCTTGAGACTTCAGCTGAGTACTAATCAGTACATGTCTGTGGGGCAAACTACTGGAGCCAGGGAAAGAACCACTTGAAAGGCTAAACAGTGAGCATTCTCACAGGGCCAAGAGTGGAAAACATCCTAATTCATTATCATGTAGAGTACTCAGAAAAGTTCTGCCTCAGCTGTGGAGAAAAATTAGCTCCAGGCCAAATAACACTATGGTCCCACCTAACAAATCTTAAAACAAGACTTCAACTAATTAACTGTTTCCAAGTAACTTTACTGAACCCCAAAACAAAGTTCAAAAATACTTACAGAAATACAAAAATATCAGTACAAACAAGATAAAATTCATGATGTCTGGCATCCAATCAAAAATTACTATGTATGGAAAGAAGGAAAATGTGCTCTATAACGCAGAAAAAAAAATCAGTCAACTGAAAACAATCCAGAAATGACACAGCTGGTAGAATTAGTAGACAAGTGTGGATAAAGTGAAGGTTTCTGTGTCCAGGATTCTCACCTGGCACTGGTCGCTAGCTCACTACACACGTGTGGGCAATACGTTGCTACTGACTCTATATAAAGAGCTCGGCCCAGTGTTCTGGGCAACACGGGGGCACGACTGCAAGGCTGCAGGAGAGCAGAGCAGAAGCCCTCTGCCCAGAGGATGGCTGCATAGGCAGAGGGGCCCAGGGGCAGAGACCGGCTTGCTGCATGCAGACTCGCTCTGAGTGAACAGGATTTTAGTGACTGACCAGCCACCATGGGAATAAAGTTGGTTATACCCTTTCATTCCAAGAACGTTCTACTGTCATTTCTTTGGTCACACTGTATCTACAGTGAACTTGCCTGGGGCTAAAACCCATTGCAAGACAACAAGGATAGTAAGTTATTATAAATATATTCCACATGTTCAAAAAACTACAAGCACTGAACATATTAAGTAAAGACATGAAATACATAAGAAATATTCAAGTTGAAATTCTAGAGATGAAAGCTATAAGCATTTAAGATGAAAAATACAGTGGATAGGAATAAAAGCAGATTAGACCACTGCAGAAGAAAACATCAATGAACTCACGGATACACCAACAGAGCCCAGGTAAAATGAAACAGAAAAGAAAAAAAAGAAGACTGAAAAGAAAGGTAACAGAGAAGCACAGCCGAAAAACAGAAAGAAAAATGGGTATAGAGCTGAACCCAACCACACCTGAAGCTAATCCTAGATTTTTCAATTACATGAGCCAATGAATTCCCTTTTCTACTTAAGCCAAATCTGAGTTAGGTCTTGTCACTCGTAAACAGGAGTCCTAATTATACCCCTTAAAATCAAAAGGCTCTTAAGGACATATGTGAGCTCAGTTTATATCCTACACAACTTCAAAAGGCATATCCACAGACATGTCAACAAAGATCTGTTGACTATACTGCAAAAATTCTCATTCTTTAGGATATAACGATTCCCCTCCTCTTAAGCCTGAAAGCATGTTTAGGACAGTTGACATTGTACTTAATGGTCTTTTCTATCTGGAAAGAAGGAAGAAAACACAGCCCACCCCCATACTGAAGTCTGCAGAGTACTCTCCTTTACAGGTGTATCTTAGAGGCATGACTTAACAGACTCGGGCTCACAGTTTTAATTCTAAAGTGAAAAGAAAGCGTTCTTATAAAGGGAAGGAATGCATCTTGCATATTCTACTTTTGCTTTTAAACTTGAACTATCCTTCAATGAGCATTCTTTTCTGAAAAAATTAAATGACCTGGATGTATAGCTACCAAAGTTTTTGAATACTTACTAGGAGTTACAGTTTTCATCTACATACAAATTTTTACAATCATTACAAAATATCCTAATTTTTAAAAATGAGTGAAGCCACATAAACATAGCCAACTGATCTTTGACAAAGGAGCAAAGGCAATACAATGAACTAAGCAGAGCCTTGTCACAAATAATGCTGCAACATTAGACATCTACATGTAAAAAAAATGAATCCGGACTTGACACCCACCACAAAAAGTAACTCAAAATGGATCACAGACTAATTGAAAGAATTAATAAGCTGAGCTTGATTTAACTTAAATACTTCTGCTCTGTGAGAGACAATGTCAAGGAAATGAGAAGACAAGTCACACTTTGGGAAAAAATATTTTTAAAAAACACATCTGATAAATGACTGTTACACAAAATTCAGGAATAACTCTTAAAACTCAGTAAGAGAAACAACTGATTAAAAAATGAGCCAAAGACCTTAACAAACACCTCATCAAAGAAGATATATACAATGGCAAATAAGCATATGAAAAGATGCTCCATATCATATGCCTGAGGGAAATACAAAGTAAAACTGCAAGATGCCACTATCTGCCTAACAGAAAGGTCAAAATTCAGGACAATGACAACACCAAATGCTGAGTAGGTAGTGAAGCAACAGAACTCTCATTCCTTGATGGTTGGAATGCAAAATGGTGCAGCCACTTTGGAAGACAGTTTGACAGTTTCTTAAAAAACTAAAATATTCTCATCATATGACCCAGCAATTGCACTTCTTGGTATTTACCCAAAGGAGCTGAAAACATGTCCACACAAAAACCTGCACACAGATAGTTACAGCAGCTTCACTAATAACTGCCAAAACTTGGAAGCAACCAAGATACCCATCCAGTAGGTGAATGGATAAATAAACCTTGCTATATCCAGACAAGGTAATATTATGCAGCACTAAAAAGAAATAGCTATTAAACCAGAGAGGTAACTTAAATGCATGTAGGAAACTTACTAAGTGAAAGAAGTCAATCTGAGAAGGCTATA